TCACGTATGTATCTACATGTGTTAATGAGATAACATGGCCTCAGATATGTATCTACATGTGTTAATGAGAGAATATGACCTCATATGTGTATCTACAGGTGTCAATGAGAGAATGGGGCCTCGAAATGTATCTACATGTGTTAATGAGAGAATATGACCTCAGATATGTACCTACATGTGTTAATGAGAGAATATGACCTCACATGTGTATCTCCATGTGTTAATGAGAGAATATGACCTCACATGTGTATCTACATGTGTTAATGAGATAACATGGCCTCAGATATGTATCTATATGTGTTAATGAGAGAATATGACCTCACATGTGTATCTACATGTGTTAATGAGAGAATATGTCCTCACATGTGTATCTACATGTGTTAATGAGAGAATATGACCTCATATGTGTATCTACAGGTGTCAATGAGAGAATGGGGCCTCGAAATGTATCTCCATGTGTTAATGAGAGAATATGACCTCACATGTGTATCTACAGGAGAGAATCTGTCCTCATCCTATACATGTGTTCATGAAGACGAATATGGTCTCAGATGTGTCTAAAGGTGTCAATGGGAGAATATGGCCTCATTTGTGTACCTACATTCGTCAATAAGAGAATGTGTCCTCAGATATATGTCTAAAGGTGTAATGAGAGAGTGTACTGAATCACCTATATACATTATGTAGATCAGTTTGCTGTATTTATATCAAGTGAGGATCTGTATGTATGTATAGATATATATTACCGGTACTATACAAATTGATCTACAAGAACAAGTATAACATTATAGATATGTGATCATCAACTGTGATCATCATCTCATACCTTTGGTATTTCATATTTCATAAATATTTTGGCAAGGAAGGCAAGAAGTGAATTTCTGAAGATTGGGAATTGAAATATGATCTTCCCACGGTTTCACTTGCATTTATAAAAAAAAATCACCCCGAAAAAAAGGAATTATTGCAAGTTGATCAAGAGGAGAAAAACTAACCATGAGCAAGACATAGCAAACACTTAAAACCTGTAACTTGGTGGTAAATGTGAAAAATGATGATGTTCCACCATTCACACATGCTAGAATGAGTCATTATCTCACACGATACACTTTGACCTTAGAATGACATTATAATTCATCAATTAGGGTCATATTTGTGTACTATTCTGCCAACAATGGATGTTCCCAATTGATCATAGCTTGGTCGTAGACTTGATACCAATGATTCTAGTATTGGTCTACCAACATTATCAGGTACTGGTCTCAACTTGAGTGTACGCAAAGTATTCTTCATCATCGGTAGACAACAGTATTCACCCTAACATCCACAAATGGTGTAATTATGGCTCGTTGAATTCATTCATTTTTTCCACTATACTCATGACCTTCTTGGTTCTAATTTATGTGAAAGTTGAGTCAATGTTCTCTGATTATCTATCACACTCAGGTTTCTGAAACAAACAAAAACACAAAACATTACGTAAATGACAGAGGTGTGTCTAGGGACAAAATAAGTCCTATATTAATAGTCAACCAAACAACGAAGTCACTTTTTATTTTTTATTAGAGCCAAAATGTTTTTTTTGGAATGTTTACCATTTTTTCAGTTTGTAAAAAAAACAATTGCTTTGAAGTCCAAAGCATCAACACATTAATTTTTCTGGTCGTATGACAATACTAACTACGAACCTGACATACGCTCTGACTTCCTGTACATTTTTCACAGCTGGTGGGGGTTCCACTTTGAATGGTTCACTTCGGCAGTATTTGATGGTACGAATGGTAGTAGCAATCATGTGCTAATAGAGAAAATACAAGTAGTAAGTCCCAAGAATTGAGTCCCAAGCAACGATAACAACGCATGCTAAAAACGCAAAGGCTCATGGGGAGATGCTTGTTTGTAAACAATGACACACTATGGCCATCTGACGCATGTGTAGGTGACGACTCCCCCGGTTAAGGGGTAATAACGTAAAGCATATATGAGCATACTGCACATGTATACATAGTGCTATACAAATATAATGCATTATTATTAGTATTTTAAATGACCAATTATACATGAAGTAATGGCATAAACACACAAAACATAAACAAGTACGATGCCTAAAGAGGTCATAATTTTTTTCCAACATTGGTAAAAAAAACAAAAAACAAGCAGCCTATCGGCTGAGATAGCTCCGCTGTTAGCAATGCACAATTCAATTAAAGAACAGAAGCTATCATTAGAAAATGAACAATATGTATAATATCAAAGCAACCAGACTTGCTGTTTTCAACAAGAATTCAAGAGGATCACTTTTCACCAAAAATGACAAAAATATTCACCAAAATTAGAGAATTACAGATATCATTACAAAATGAACAAATCTGAGAGAGGTCCACATGTAGTACCTATATATGTAATATCAAAGCAATTGCACTTGCGGTTTTTAACAAGAAGTCGAAAATATCACTTTTTACCAAAAATGACAAAAATATTCACCAAAATTAGAGAATTGAAGATATCATCATGAAAGAGAGGTCTACCCAAGGTACATATACACCAAGTATCAAAGCATTCAGGCTTGTAGTTTTCAAGAAGAAGTCAAAAAAGTAAAACATTGACACGGACGACGACGGACAATCACTCATATGATAAGCCCCGCTCGACAAAGTCGACAGCGCAGCTAAAAAAACATGATAGTTTTACATACACACATGTACGAAAATCTGTTTGTACGCTTGACATAAAGGACAAATATACAAATTCTTACCATTTTCTCAAAATTGACGAGTCCGTCAAAATAAGTTTTATTGCCTTCATGCGTAAATGTCATGTCCTTCATCAGTAATGGCATAAAAGGAATGATGGGAGGCTGCATCTTGGCAACGGCTAAGCGATACACTCGGTGATTACGCGATGGATCTAACGTAGTCTCAAACTCAGCAAACATTCTCTTGAATTTACTTGGCAACTTCTGTATATATACAGAAATAAAATATGTTATAATAATTTTTTTAAAGAAGAAAATATGCAGAAAAGTATCAATTCAAACAACAATTCTACCTCTTTTCACACACTTATTAATATAGCTTTCACTTGAACACCCCTTAGACAATCCCATTTCAGGAACTACCAAGCCAAACTCCTTTTGTAACTGTTCCTCCATCGTCATGGGAACATATTATACATAGTGGTTTCTCTTGAGCGATTTTTTTTGTGAGACAAGAAGTAATACAATAACAATGAGTGTCCATCGCTTACCTCCCAAGTTTGTGATAACCGACTAACAGCAATATTACTGAGACCCATTACAATTGAAAAAAAAGAGTTCATATTCTTGTACTCTTTACAACTGCAAAATGAGAAAAATAATTATTTAACAATACATATGTATACCATAGCAGGACCATACTTACAGCCTGAAAATCATTTCAAATCTCAAGCTGTCTATGGCTTTTATTTAAATCTTTATAATTTATGGTGCAATATGAACAATATTTAGGCAGATTACACGGAAAGAGTACCCCTAACCCTACCCTCCAGTGCTCGACCCCCAACTTAATTGTATTTGCCCCTGCGAAGGACACTTATATTTATCTAAATTGAGGGCTTGGGGTGAGGGTTAGAGTTTTGAACCAGCTAATGGATTGGACATTTGAACCGTACAGTAACATACTAACAATATATATATATACTTACAATGCAGCTATCTTGATAAATTTCCGTAATAACTGTACTCTTTTTCCAAGTGTATTGGTAAGGCACATTTCAGTGACAACCCAGAATTGTACTTCATTGAATCTTCTAAGTAACATATCTAAGTTACATGTTATCTTGCCAAATTTATGCCGTCCAAATGTGTGGTAAATCAACTCATACTGTAAAAACAGACAAGAACAAAATAAAAATCAGTCTTTGGTTAATATATATGAGGTTAGTATGAGGATACCTTAAAGTATGTATGCAGACAATACAGCGGAAGTATCGACTGACGTGCAGCATAGGTTGATGCGATGGCGTACTGTCTGAGTGCATACTTTGAGGTATCCTCGTAATAACCTTATTATTATACATCATGGGAATGCCAAAATCCAAAATGTTTAGAGCAGAATCAGCAAACTTCTTTGTGTGAAGTTCGGTGGCAGCCATGTTTGTTTTTATTATTAGAGTATGCGTAATCATTCCATATTTGGAATTCGCATTTTCTAATATGGTAGGCTGAAAATACCCTGTAAAATTTTTATTTATTTATTTATTTATTTATTTACCAATTAATTAATAAATACCAACAGGACCAAGTCAATTGATTAATTTCAATCCTACTTTATACATGAAAAACCAGTACAGAATATGCCAATTACCCTGCAAAATATCCTACTCATTATGGCGGCAAGACATACTGTGAATTTGATGGATATTAACTGAGAATATCTTTACATCCACACCTCTCAATGGTTTTCTTACTCACCTCATGTAAACAGTTCAAAAGTTCCCAGTCATATAATGTCATTTGATAGGCCACTTCCTTTGTGCTCATCAGTTCAAAAACTGAACTTGTTCCTTGTGATGGGCCTTCTTGTTCTGGTATCGGGGTCTGCAAATACATAAAAAAAGTTGTACAGAAACATATCATGATTAGAGTACTGGTCAACATAACATTCCAAATAGTTATCAGTTTAAATCATACATACAGTACAGTTCCTCAGTGCCCCCCCCCCTCACTCACAATTCTTATTTAAACCCTGCTCCTTCAGTGCCCCTACCCCATTTAATTATCTATAGTCCTCTTTGGATCACTTATTTGGTTATTTAGAGGGGCATATTGACTTGCAATGGGGCTGCAGTGTTAGGGTTCAGGTTAGGGGTGAGGGGCTTTTAGGCAACTCTTTCCATAGATGTTTCACTTCAATTGCATACAGTGTTGAGTCCCAATATACTCAAAAATTAAAAATGTACATTGATTGATGATATTAACAAATAGAAAATTTGACATTAATTATGTACATTAATAATTAGACCACAACGCGATAATAATTTTTATCACATGTCAACACAATCTGATTAAAAGAAGATACACAGGTTTTTGCTTTGTTTTTGTGATTTTGACAAAAGAAAAACTGTTTTACTGAATTAAAAATAGATTAAAGTGTAACTGAATTGGGCCAATTGACTTTTTTTGTGTGCAAAATTTATTTATAAACAACATTATGAAAAAAAATCAAGTGAAAAGGGTATATAAATTGGGTAAACAGTCAATGATATTCCAAAACCGGGCCACGCCCCCCTCTCCCGTCACCTTCGAGTTTTTTCGGCATTACGAGTGTTGCCGAAATGGCGCCACCAACGGGACCATAAAGCAGGAGATTGCTAGCAGACAAGATTGTTAACCATTTTCT